AGGCTCCACACAACTGGAGTGGCACTCAAGAGAGTAAGATAAGCAGACACTGGACAAGTTGCCATACAGAGTGAAGCAAACATTGAGAGTATAGAATATAAGCTGCCACTACACAGTACAACTGATGAAGGGAAACAGGGTACTAAGTGAGTTAAGAAGAAAACTTGATCTCTGGAGGGGAGACTTTGCCAGAGCAAGGGCCTTCCTGCACCAGCCCCAGGGGAAGAGCGCATTAGAGGGTAAACTGTGCGAGATGATGGGAATACGTAGCTCAGACATGTGCAGAGGTTAAGAAAGGTTCATACTGAACATGAACTACCTTAACGATAAAATGACATGCACCACCATGGTTGAACAAGGACATGCTGGGATAAGATACAGGGAGACAAGTACTCAGGCCACCAGGAACATGCTAAGAACAATGACTGAAAACAATAGTCAAGGCTCAGCGTCGTAGCTGTAAGACAGATATATACACAAGTCTATGGACCAACCACACTAAGTGATCAGGTCATGAGGATACAAGACAAGAATATAGTCTCTGGAAAAAGTAAGTCTGTGAAGAGCTGGAGAACACATCTGTATCTTGAGAATGGAAGGAAAGTGGTCACCACACACATGGGTGACGTGACAAAGTGGTCACCACACACATGGGTGACGAGACAAAGTGGTCACCACACACATGGGTGACGTGACAAAGTGGTCACCACACACATGGGTGACGAGACAAAGTGGTCACCACACACATGGGTGACGAGACAAAGTGGTCACCACACACATGGGTGACGAGACAAAGTGGTCACCACACACATGGGTGACGTGACAAAGTGGTCACCACACACATGGGTGACGAGACAAAGTGGTCACCACACACATGGGTGACGAGACAAAGTGGTCACCACACACATGGGTGACGAGACAAAGTGGTCACCACACACATGGGTGACGTGACAAAGTGGTCACCACACACATGGGTGACGTGACAAAGTGGTCACCACACACATGGGTGACGAGACAAAGTGGTCACCACACACATGGGTGACGAGACAAAGTGGTCACCACACACATGGGTGACGTGACAAAGTGGTCACCACACACATGGGTGACGTGACAAAGTGGTCACCACACACATGGGTGACGTGACAAAGTGGTCACCACACACATGGGTGACGAGACAAAGTGGTCACCACACACATGGGTGACGAGACAAAGTGGTCACCACACACATGGGTGACGTGACAAAGTGGTCACCACACAAATGGGTGACGTGACAAAGTGGTCACCACACACATGGGTGACGTGACAAAGTGGTCACCACACACATGGGTGACGAGACAAAGTGGTCACCACACACATGGGTGACGTGACAAAGTGGTCACCACACACATGGGTGACGTGACAAAGTGGTCACCACACACATGGTTGACGAGACAAAGTGGTCACCACACACATGGGTGACGTGACAAAGTGGTCACCACACACATGGGTGACGTGACAAAGTGGTCACCACACACATGGGTGACGAGACAAAGTGGTCACCACACACATGGGTGACGTGACAAAGTGGTCACCACACACATGGGTGACGTGACAAAGTGGTCACCACACACATGGGTGACGAGACAAAGTGGTCACCACACACATGGGTGACGTGACAAAGTGGTCACCACACACATGGGTGACGTGACAAAGTGGTCACCACACACATGGTTGACGTGACAAAGTGGTCACCACACACATGGGTGACGTGACAAAGTGGTCACCACACACATGGGTGACGTGACAAAGTGGTCACCACACACATGGGTGACGTGACAAAGTGGTCACCACACACATGGGTGACGAGACAAAGTGGTCACCACACACATGGTTGACGTGACAAAGTGGTCACCACACACATGGGTGACGTGACAAAGTGGACACCAATATGGTTACTGAGGAGAATACCACCAAACACCAGCAACAACTCTTATGTAACAAGAGCAGTATACATGACCCGGCTACACATCTCCATGGATACTAAAAATATACTTAAAAATATATTGTAAACGATTTCTTAAACAGTATTAATATCTGTCAAAATTATATACAAGAATTAGATCATTTCAAGCAGTCTCCGTGGTGCAGTGGTAAGACACTCGCCTGGCGTTCCGCGAGCGCTATGTCATGGGTTCGTATCCTGGCCGGGGAGGATTTACTGGGCGCAAATCCTTAACTGTAGCCTCTGTTTAACGCAACAGTAAAATGTGTACTTGGATGAAAAAACGATTCTTCACGGCAGGGGATCGTATTCTATATACGATTGTACAGCCACTAGTACGCGTACTAGTGGCTGTACAAGAATGTAACAACTCTTGTATATATCTCAAAAAAAAAATATGAGGCAGTGTGGTGCCAGCGCCCGCTAGCTACGTTGAATATTTCAGAGTCCAACTTACCGTGGAAAGACACCTTCTCTGGACCGCTCCTGGTGAACACACCCACAACAGTACTCACCACCTTGAGAGGTTATACCTGGAGATGATTTCGGGGCTTAGCGTCCCCGCGGCCCGGTCCTCGACCTGGGCCCTCCCTGATCACACTGACATTTAAATTTTGACATGATGGGGCGGGTTTATTGGGCAGCGTCACTCATCCTGTGAGTGGACACACCGCCATAGTGACAGTATTGGGCAGCGCCACTCATCCTGTGAGTGGACACACCGCCATAGTGACAGTATTGGGCAGCGCCACTCATCCTGTGAGTGGACACACCGCCATAGTGACAGTATTGGGCAGCGCCACTCATCCTGTGAGTGGACACACCGCCATAGTGACAGTATTGGGCAGCGTCACTCATCCTGTGAGTGGACACACCGCCATAGTGACAGTATTGGGCAGCGCCACTCATCCTGTGAGTGGACACCCCGCCATAGTGACAGTATTGTTATTGGGCAGCGCCACTCATCCTGTGAGTGGACACCCCGCCATAGTGACAGTATTGGGCAGCGCCACTCATCCTGTGAGTGGACACACCGCCATAGTGACAGTATTGGGCAGCGTCACTCATCCTGTGAGTGGACACACCGCCATAGTGACAGTATTGGGCAGCGCCACTCATCCTGTGAGTGGACATACCGCCATAGTGACAGTATTGGGCAGCGCCACTCATCCTGTGAGTGGACACACCGCCATAGTGACAGTATTGGGCAGCGGCACTCATCCTGTGAGTGGACACACCGCCATAGTGACAGTATTGGGCAGCGGCACTCATCCTGTGAGTGGACATACCGCCATAGTGACAGTATTGGGCAGCGGCACTCATCCTGTGAGTGGACACACCGCCATAGTGACAGTATTGGGCAGCGCCACTCATCCTGTGAGTGGACACACCGCCATAGTGACAGTATTGGGCAGCGCCACTCATCCTGTGAGTGGACACACCGCCATAGTGACAGTATTGGGCAGCGCCACTCATCCTGTGAGTGGACATACCGCCATAGTGACAGTATTGGGCAGCGCCACTCATCCTGTGAGTGGACACACCGCCATAGTGACAGTATTGGGCAGCGCCACTCATCCTGTGAGTGGACATACCGCCATAGTGACAGTATTGGGCAGCACCACTCATCCTGTGAGTGGACACACCGCCATAGTGACAGTATTGGGCAGCGCCACTCATCCTGTGAGTGGACATACCGCCATAGTGACAGTATTGGGCAGCGTCACTCATCCTGTGAGTGGACACACCGCCATAGTGACAGTATTGGGCAGCGCCACTCATCCTGTGAGTGGACACACCGCCATAGTGACAGTATTGGGCAGCGTCACTCATCCTGTGAGTGGACACACCGCCATAGTGACAGTATTGGGCAGCGCCACTCATCCTGTGAGTGGACACACCGCCATAGTGACAGTATTGGGCAGCGCCACTCATCCTGTGAGTGGACACACCGCCATAGTGACAGTATTGGGCAGCGCCACTCATCCTGTGAGTGGACACACCGCCATAGTGACAGTATTGGGCAGCACCACTCATCCTGTGAGTGGACACACCGCCATAGCAGCATGTACAACACTCCCCAATAGGAAGAAAACCCGCTGGGTTGTTCATCCTGTCACTTGTACCCAGACACAGCTGGGACTTGCTTAACTGTCTCAAGTGAACAGCTCCTCAAACAAGAAGATTAACATCTGTCAACCCTTGAAATCTTACGTTATCTTGCGGGTGCAAAATCTTATAAGAACAGTATCAATATTTAACAAACGGTGTTTTCCTAACTCAAACAATGTGGGGTTTATTATTCTACACATATTTCTAATTACTCTTAGATGTCCACACTCTCAGGTAGTGGTGAAGGCGGTGTCCATCACTCACCACAGATTCTGCAACTCCGCTGCTCAACTGTCATTTCCATTCCGAATCTCCATGGATATATATATCCAAGACGGGTTCTCGCTATTGCTGATTCTCTCCCACGGCCACCTCCTCTTCGGCCATAATGATTGGGGTTGCCAGCTGCAACCATATTGTACCATCGTACAGATTCACTGGTTTGTGCTTCTATCCTCCTTTCCTCAGTTACCTGAACTTACCTGAGATTACCTGAACTTATCTGAGGTTATCTGAGGTTACCCGAGTTACTTGAGGTTTCCTCAGTTACTGCCTATTGTGAGACGCGCCCTGTGGCTGAGTCCAGCAAAGAGAGGCATAATATTTCATGCTTAAGGTTGCCAACTTGTCCAGGCAATTTTCTATTGACAGGACAAGAATATATGATAAAACTCAAGTAATTACCATACTGGGCCTCACTAACATGTTACAGGTACAGTAAACATCAATATGTTCTACAAGCAGAACATTCAGTAACAAACAGCAGAGAACATGCAGAAACTGCAGAAGAAAAGTTTAAAAGCCGTATCTAACAGGTAGGAGAGGCAGCTGAAGGATGAGGAGGCAACATAGGGAGTGAGGAGGAGGGAGGCATAATGTGAGAGAGGGGGAGAGGGGAGTGACTGACCATCCGGCGCCTGTTGGTCTGCGTGACGTTGGTGTTAAAGTCCCAGCTGGCCTCCATGAAGCGTGTGCACATGGCGCTCGCCTCAGCGTCGTACCCTCGCAGGAAGTCGATGGCTTCGGCCTCATTGGTGTTGTTGCCCTGAGGGAGAGAACCACCTGAGTCAGTCTACATTGTTGGAGTCCTGAGGGAGAGAACCACCTGAGTCAGTCTCTACATTGTTGGAGCCCTGAGGGAGAGAACCACCTGAGTCAGTCTCTACATTGTTGGAGTCCTGAGGGAGAGAACCACCTGAGTCAGTCTCTACATTGTTGGAGCCCTGAGGAAGTCACGTTAGCGAAAGTTCCAAATAATACAAATTACTACAACAAATCCATAGTGTATAATCCTCGACAACTGCCCTCTAACTCTAACATAACAATGTAGGCAGCATACTAGGACTCAAGATTAACAGAACAGGAATCAAAATTTTGTTATTTATAACAGATTTATACTAAGAAAGTATAAAATGGTCCCGCCTTAGCTAAAGTAAGACTACCCTGCAAGCTTATCACGGACACACAACTATACTTACACAAAGGTGTGTAGTCCGTCCACATCCCGAGCTCCTCCCACCACCACCACTACACTCCTCACTCAACACTAACCTGGCACAGCTACAGGCACTGCCAAACAAGGCAATAAAATAACCCACAAAACACTGCCCACCATGTGACCAAACTATTCAGAAGCTCCCTTTATAATTCCCTTTGCACGAGACAGGAAGCCTGTGTATATTTGTATATACTTTAGGCTTGTAGAGAGGTATCCAAGAGTCAACTACTGACCTTCCCCCAGGAGGCAATCCCACGACAGTGGCATGCAGGAACATGACAAAGTTGACGCCCTTGCTAAGGCTGCAGTAAATAAAGACAGTATTGAACGGAATCTTGAGTTATCAAATAGGTCCCTTAAAAGTGTCATTAGACGAGAACTCCTGGATGGATTTGAAGAAAGTAGAACAGTGCAAACAGGAACTATCAGGTCCATTTGTTCATCACAATGAAATGTGTGAAGTAAAACATGTGTATGGGGCAAGTAACAAAGTCAGTAGACTAACAGACGTTGTCACAGCTCGTATAAGACTTGGCTACAAGTATCTCTGGCAGTTGGGCTTGCGTAATGATCTAGATGAAGTAAAGTGTAAAGTGTGTGGACAAAGACAGGGACACACACTTGAGCATTATATCTTGCACTGTAGTAAAATTTAGTCATTTAGATATGAATCTAAACATACGTTGAAATGCACATGAAGTTTGAAATGTTAGACACTCGCCACCTCCCTTATAAAAAAAAGAAGAGCAAGCTTAATTTAGATACCAAACCCCCAGACATCGTGTCAGCGAGGCGGACAACCATACCATAACATACAATATATTCTATATTTCTGCAACTTTTCTTTCACGTGTGCCTCTCCCACATCTTTACTCTCATAACACAGAAGTGTCTGACCTCATATATGGCCTGCCTGGTAGACTGCTCTCTCTACCTTTTCTTCCAAAGCGTTGGTTGGAGAAATTGGTGGATTATTGTTCATTTTCGTGGTTTCTTTCTGCGCAGCAGGAATAACACGGAGAGGCGCAGCAGCAGGAGAGGCGCAGCAGCAGGAGGAGGAGGAAGAAATAAACAAGTGATACAAGGAGACGGCGACAACACCAAGATGGAGGAAATTGAGAGAAGGTTGTAAACTTAATTCTTTAAAGTGGCATCACCAGACATGGACACGTGACCGTCCGCTGGTTCACGGGCTGGTGACTGGACACGTGACCACACGGGCTGGTGACTGAACACGTGACCACACGGGCTGGTGACTGAACACGTGACCACACGGGCTGGTGACTGAACACGTGACCACACGGGCTGGTGACTGAACACGGGACCACACGGGCTGGTTACTGAACACGTGACCACACGGGCTGGTGACTGGACACGTGACCACACGGGCTGGTGACTGAACACGTGACCACACGGGCTGGTGACTGAACACGGGACCACACGGGCTGGTGACTGAACACGGGACCACACGGGCTGGTGACTGAACACGTGACCACACGGGCTGGTGACTGAACACGTGACCACACGGGCTGGTGACTGAACACGTGACCACACGGGCTGGTGACTGAACACGGGACCACACGGGCTGGTGACTGAACACGTGACCACACGGGCTGGTGACTGAACACGGGACCACACGGGCTGGTGACTGAACACGTGACCACACGGGCTGGTGACTGAACACGGGACCACACGGGCTGGTGACTGAACACGTGACCACACGGGCTGGTGACTGAACACGTGACCACACGGGCTGGTGACTGAACACGTGACCACACGGGCTGGTGACTGAACACGGGACCACACGGGCTGGTTACTGAACACGTGACCACACGGGCTGGTGACTGGACACGTGACCACACGGGCTGGTGACTGAACACGTGACCACACGGGCTGGTGACTGAACACGGGACCACACGGGCTGGTGACTGAACACGGGACCACACGGGCTGGTGACTGAACACGTGACCACACGGGCTGGTGACTGAACACGTGACCACACGGGCTGGTGACTGAACACGTGACCACACGGGCTGGTGACTGAACACGGGACCACACGGGCTGGTGACTGAACACGTGACCACACGGGCTGGTGACTGAACACGGGACCACACGGGCTGGTGACTGAACACGTGACCACACGGGCTGGTGACTGAACACGGGACCACACGGGCTGGTGACTGAACACGTGACCACACGGGCTGGTGACTGAACACGTGACCACACGGGCTGGTGACTGTGTAACAAACTAGGCTGTTGTAAGAATTATCCAGAGTGGTTTATCGACAAAAGAGAATGGGAAGCTGAGCCGCATGGTGACCTGACCCCCAGGGGAATTCGCGGTGGAAATAACCGACGCGTTGTTCATAGCTGCGTATAATGAATCATCCTATAGTATTCAGTAAATTAGAGAAAATTAGCCTTTATTCATTTTGCATTAAAATTGGATTGTATAATAGTACTGGATACAATATCAAGAGTATTCTAATTATTGAGTTTAAGTCACCATCAGTGACGTCACGAATCGGATCTAACTTTTAAGGCGGAGTGACCGGCGGTCATAAGTCAGCAGGGTTGACATGTCTAATATTTCTCAAAGTTTTAATAACCATTTTTGTGATCGGGAACAGCTCTGCCGTTAGATGTTTGTAATTTAATTCAGTAAAATAATTCAACCAGTCTGGATCAATTAAGTACAACAGAGGTTAATTGTTATAACTTAAACCTTGCTAGTAACTGGGTAGAACTTTGACTAGGCGGAAGGATACAATGTTCTGTCTGGGGGAGACCAGACAAGGAAGAAATCAGTGTGAATACGGGAGCAGCTGGGAGAGGTCAAACATCTTACCTCTCCCCAAGACATCTAGCTGGTCGCCCAAGGTATAGTTGCTATGGTTATGTATAGAAATAGTCTTCTCATTTGCCATTCAGGTCAAGTAGGGAGTGTTAAAGTGATAGGGAGTGAACACATTTAGATTTTGTTTTAGTTTTCTTTTAATAAATTAAATTTGTTATTAATTTGCATTTTATTGTTTCCATGTGTTTTATGTGTATACTTGTCCTGGTCACGTGGTCCACACGAGGCAGAGTTGCATTGTGCGCCGATTCTAACATCGAATCGGAATCATCATTACCGTGTAATTTATTCCACCCTCAAGGTCATCGTTTATAGTGGGGATCAAGCCCCTAGGTTGATTAATTAGCGTGATCGATCCAGACCTCGATCATTGCTCTTGTATTACTGGTCTGGTGGTGGCAGCAGAGGTGACTCTAGGGTTTTGTTCAGAGCTTAGGTCACGTCATACTGGGTGTAGAATCCTAAGTCGGTCAATCGTCTTAGGACCACGTGGCGTGGAGTTGGCTTTGGTAAAAGTTTTGGAGTCCCTTGGTTTAGAAATAAAAGTAAGAATACGGGTAGAGGGAGTAGAAAGAAGGAAGTAAAGAGAGAGGAACCCGAACCCGTGTTACAATGGTGCACAGCGGTGGTTTCAACAATTTTGTTTGAAATTGTTGAAAGGCTCACGCGTCTAGCCGTTCGAACACGTGCGCGGATGCTAAGGAGACAGCCGCGGGCCAGGATTAGCAGTGCGCCCCACAAGTGCGTTTGAGTGGGGATTGGCGAATCTTGGGTCATGCGGGCTGATATGATTAAGGTTAGTTAGTAAGATTAGGCTGTTAAAATTAGATTTATTGAAAAGGAGACCGCTCCGAGTTGATTGGACTGGGTACCATACTCGACCCATTGCAATTAATTCAGAGGTGTTGGGAGCCGCCATACTCTCAACAGCAGTTCCTTGAGGGCTGTCGGGGGCGGATATATCTGTGGGACGCCAGTAGATAGTCCGAGGGCGTTATTAGACGACCCAAAACGCTAAGGAAAAACGTAATCCGTGAAGGGCGTTGCGGCCTCCGAGGGACGGACTAGTAAACTACCTAGCAGCGATTCAACAACTAAGTGATCGCACACTTAGTGGAGGTTGAGTCGTCCCTAGTCATAATTGTTGCTGAAAGCTGCGTGTCGCTCTGTTGGAACCTAGATGGTGTGGCCTCTAGGCTAGGTGTGGTACGGCGAACCGGTAGGAGCAATTATAAGATTAAGTCGAGTGCATTTTTTTAATTAAGTATACTTAAATTTATAAAGTAATTTCCGTTTATTTGCGTTGTTCTAGATTAATTTTTTTTCCCCTAAATTCAATCCCCGGTTAAAATTTTTCCCAAGTGTTTAGCGTTTTCTTGCATATTAGGCTAAGTGCGTACGTTAAGTTTTGTTATTCCCTGTTCTATTAGTCTAAGTCAGAGGCGTTGTTGCTAGAGTGTAGTTAATCCTCTGGACTTAGGGCTATGTGTCGGTCACGATAGATAAGTGAAGGAGTTTAAGGGATAGTAAAGTTGTGTGTAAATATTATTTGTCCGTGGAATATTTCTAAGTATTTTGGGATAAGTTTTCGGCTAAGTCAATGTCGGAAAGTCGTTAACTGTAATTAATTTGTATTCGTGGGTCACGTGTATGTTCTGGGTATCATTAGGATTCCCCAGTCGATGCGCGT